GAACACTCCCAGACAGAGAGAAGTCAGGAAATGTCAGTTTCCTGTACCCCCCTACTCCTAACAATCCTAATATTACTCTTTTTGGCATTATATTTAATATCAAACTCTGAACCATATCGAGAACAAATCCTCAGTAACTGTTGAAGACCAGCACTATATGGACAAAAAATCACCAAATCATCTGCATACATCAAATGGTTTATAATAGTATGACCAACCATACAACCTGTTCTACAACCATTTAACAGCTTTGATAAATCATCCATATAAACATTAAATAAAAAGGGAGACAAAATGCTTCCCTGTCTGACTCCATTACATACACTGAATGGAGCAGACACACAATTAGCCCATTTTACATACATTAATTGATGAGCATACCAAAAAACCAAAATTCTCACTAAAAATTTGGGAACTCCTCTATTGTATAACTTAAAAAATAATTTTTCATGATTTACACGATCAAAGGCTTTAGAAGCATCAATAAAACACATAAAAATTGTGGAATTATGGCTGTTATAAAAATCTAAAATCTCCTTTAGAGCAAAAATACACATATCAGTGCCATGTTTCGGTTTAAAACCAAACTGGTTATCAGAAGTCAGGACAAAATGTTCCATCTTATTCAATAAAATCCTTTCAATAACCTTGGATAAAGTACTGGCCAAGGCTATAGGCCGGTAATTATCCATGCTATTTATTTTACCAGCTCTGTCTTTAATAATAGGCACTAACATAACAGATAAGATCGAATCTGGTAAAATACCATGAACCAAAAAACCCAGTAGAACAAATAGCCAGCAAAGGACATAATTTTCTACTTGCAAATTTTAAATGGTCAGCATAGCGAATCATATCACTGCCAATGGTACGATAATTAAACATCTTGGCTAACCCGAACTATAATTTTAAATATTGCTGCTTTCAACAATTTGTATCAATGTATCCAGATAGAGAGATGTTTAATCTATCTAATATATCTTTCTAGTGTAGGAACATCCAATTATTTTTTTATCTTTGTCCTTTGGCCTGTTGATAATAAGTACTTTTTTGAAACCCATAAAATATAAATGCAACATTTTAAAAAAATATACTGAACTTTATTTTTGAAACACAAATAGAAGGAATTTGTTCATAAACCAACGTGATCTCATGAGAATTCGTATGTATTTTACGTAAAATGTGGTTCAACAAAACTTACTTTTTCTTACATTTTACAGACACTAAGACGTACAATACTGACATTTTCACAGCATTTTAACGGACAATACAGACGTATTGACGAAACCTATAATGTAAAGTATTTACATATGAACAACTTTAGACTTTTAGAACAAATGAATCCTTATGAATTGAAATCGTGGCATTAACATTTTATGTTGCATTGTATTCAGTTGTCATATCAATGGCATTATGTTTTCAATTGACTCATTAAATTGTTTACTCATTTACTTAATATTAAAGTTTAGTATAAAAATACTGCAAGCACGTTTTTAAATGAAATAAATAGTTTGAATGTTCGTAAAAACAACTGTACTGTAGTTACTAATGTGGTTCGGGTTGAATTAATCACTGTGGTACGTCTGGTCAAAACGCAGCAAAGATGCTTCTTGATTCACAGAAGATTTATTCCACTAGCATGTACAAACATGTGGGTGTTTGTGTGGTTCTACAAGACAAGTAGAAACAATTGTATATATCAGTACTTAATATTCACCATAGCATAACAATTCAACAAACAATAGCAAAAGTTAACAATATTAATAGTTAGAAAGACATTAGAACATATCCAGAAATAATATATTTCACTTTCAATACCTTATTTATTATTCAACTTTGGTCAGACCAGGAATCGAACCCGCGGCCGTTTGCACTAATGACGTCACACAGAATAGCTCGTGCATAACAGCATGACTAA